TCGAAATTCTTCGACATCGCCACAGAAACTAGCCGTAGGGACCATTCTGACACCCAGAAAGGCGCGAAAATAGAGCTGTTCAGGAACCGAGCAGCTTCTACACCCGGATCACATGGTGCAAAAAACGGGCTTGGGTCTCATCCTATGATTCCTCCTGGGATTTCTACGGCGAGCAGGACCAAAGGGTGAAATCTCCGCCCTTTTTTATTTGACCATGTAACGGGGTTCGATGGAGTTGGCGGGTTTTGTCTACTTTTACGCTCTTGGGTGTCAGAATCAGAGTAGGACTAGTTTCGTAGTGGCATCGATGGCTTAACTACGTAAAACGCTTATCGAAGGGCCAATCTCACTGCCAGCACTTGTTTTGCCATTGATGACTGCCATGCTATGATTGGCGCAGTGACCTGATGTTGCCAAAGTCTGCGTTTATATGTCATGTGTTGCCTCTGCGTTCAAAATTTTCATGACGGTTTGACCATTGCGATAATGACGGTGCATTTTCGGCGCAGGGAGGGACATTTTGCACTTTCTGTGCTTCACTAGGTCTGGTTTACAAGTCTCATTCTGTTGAAACCTGTACAACTCCTGTGCAAGCTGGAGCAAGATCGTCGAGTCACCATGGTAAAACCTGTTAATTCTTGTAAGCTCAGTTCTCTAGGTGCTCTAGGCGTCGATGGGAATTAGCAAAAGTGCAAAATTATACCCCCCCCCCGGGTCGCCGAACTGCGCCACATTTTTTTACTTTCGTTGACAGTCAAGCCATGAGTGTTGCTTTTCAGTAAGTGATACGTTTTTACGTTTTTGTTTTCTTTTATTTGTTCTCTCTGCAGCTTGAAAAGTGTCGTGTGGCGCTCGCTTTTACACTGTTTGCCTTTCCCATCGTGGGTAAACGCACTGCTCCAAAACAATCGGATTGTTCTATTCGACTGACCATATTTATCAGTCTAAGTGCAAAGCACTGTACAGATAGCCATCAATAGTACAGTTCTGCAACTGTTGACGTTCCTGGATGATGGTTCCTGGAAGTGTATAGCGAACTTAAAGACCAACTTGCTCCCTTTCTAGTTTTCTTTGCTCTTTCACGTGAAATATCTCTGGAAGTAACATTATTTCTGTGGGGTATACGGCACAAATGTTTTTTCACTTTCCTTCTACGGGTTTTTCGTTTGTTTTTATCTTCGTGAACGATCCAGAGTCTTGTTCGCCGCGGATGAAGGGGCGTGCGCGTGTTGGGGTTGTAATCTCCGTGTCGCCGCGGCGTTGGGCACGTTTGGCGGGCGGTGAAAAGCCCATTGCGCTGGGGCTCGCACTCTCAATCCGCCCGGCCTGCGAGGCCCGAGACCTATATAGTACCCTGTGACGCTTCTTGATTTGGAAAACCAAGAATATATACACTCTCATCATTACGGACTGTCCCGCGGGCGTATCGGCCGAGAAGAGAGTGCGCACACTGATTTAAGCCCGGTTCTCAGCCTTTTCTCTTTTATTTTCACACCAAGTCGGTAGAAAACCGTCAGTATAATACGAAGAGAAATATATATATGAATATAAATTGATCGCTTCAAAACTATCGCAAGACATAAGACTTTGGAACCGCGGAGAACGCAGCCGCACTGACCCGCCCCGACAGTCCGTAATGATGAGGAGTATAAATTAGCGAAAAGGTGAAGAGCACTCTTCGCGTCGCGATTGCTCGCGTGCTCTCTGCCGAGCATACTGGTAGTGAGCCTTATACGGCAGAGAGGAGAGAGACGAGGAAGAGAGTGGGAGACGACGAGAGAGAGAGAATACAGCCTTCTAGGACGAGATTTTTTACCTCCAACCTGTAGTAGAGTGTAACTTTCTCTAGATATCTCTGCCAGCGCTTTTTCTCTTTTAGCAGGACAGTTTGTCATCATTGAGTGGCAGCTTGTTGACATTTCCTAGGCAGACTCTAAATTCAGTGCAACATTTTCTGGCACAGTTCGGCGATGGGGAGAGGCATTTTGCACTTACCTGCTGCTTCACTAATCCCGGTTTACAGGGCTGGCTACTTGCGTAAAACACTGTTGTAAATCACTCTCGGTGAAGTAGGAGGCCAAGCTCGTCGAGTCACCACTTCGCAAATGATATTTTTATGGCTTGCTCTCCATTGCCCTTTACAAGACGGTTGACAGCGTGATTCTTTACAAAAGTGACGTATTTACTGGACAAAAGTTCACTGGGTCTGCACTTGATGGCTCGACAAGCAAAATACCCCCCCCTCATGGCTGAACTGCGCCCATTCTTTTACTGCAAGTTTTGAGTAAGTGTCCTCTCATTGATTTTGCAAGTCTCAAATGCTATTTTGCCATTTTCTCAGGAATAATATATTCGTAATTTTCATTCTTCCAATCCCTTTTTTGGATGGGCAGATTGTTATGACACGTCAGCTTAGCTTTTTTCGTTCTACAGTAACTAGTAAAGGATAGGATAAAGGCTTCGCCGTTGATCCATCCCTTTGTGGGATGCGGCAGCATTAATACTTCCATTCAGAATCGTAGTGGCTTTACTGAATGCGATGTGACCTATACAATGACTTGCGATGGCCAGCCAATGTAGTCAGGTGTTTGTCAAGTCAATGTTTTATCCTCCCAGACGAATCTGGTACCAATTTCCGTTCCCGGAGGGTAGAAGGCTTGGTTGGCCTGGGTGCCAGCACGGCATTCGAACCCGGCGCGCGCGCAAGTGGTAAGCGCGCCAGTTGTCATTACACCACCTCCGCCTGAGTAGCTAACTGTTATTCTCCTCTAGCTGTACTAATAGATCCTGGCAGAAGAATTTGACTGAATTGTATTGGTTGTCTCTAATATGAATTTATGGTTGTTCTAATAAAGTTTTCAAGTGATTCTGTTAACAAAGTTAGCCATTATTCACATTTTCCGAGTGTTCTCAATATGAATCGAAGTTGATTTGAGTTTCTTCTCGCTCGTCCGGTCCCATTTAATTTTCCGCACTGCCTTTCTTGAGCTCAATTACTACTGTATCTCATTTGTAGCTGTAGTATATCACTGCCAATCCAAACTATTTTCAGCATTGTGAACACGTTACGCGCAGCACTGAGTGCAGCGGGCTGGGCACTTTGGCGGGCGCTGATCGGTCCGACGGCCGAGGAGGAAGAAGCAGCCCGCCTTGAAGCAATTCGACGACAAGAAAGAGAATTTCATGAATTTATACGACAACAAATTGTGAGTGATTTCACCGTTGGAAGATCGCACCTTCTGGATCTTTTGTATTGTTTTGTAAGTACTGTTGTTGTGGCCTTCATGATTTTTCGGTAAACACAAGCACTTAACTTGCTTTCATACTTTGCGTCGGTGTTTTGAGTGTACGTTAGCGTTTCGAGCGACTAGGAAAGTATAGGTTTCGATCCAGTGAATACCAGCTCAGGCTTAAAATTGCCCATGAAAATGGTCAATGCTAGCTCGATATCTATACTTTCTAAGTCGCTCAAAATGCTGGCGTACGCTCAGGGTTGACGCAAAGTATGAACGCACCCTTAAGACCTGATAGAATTCTTGTGATGCCAGGGTTTCACCGTGCACATGAAAATTGTGGGATTTGTCGCCCGTGGAGGTCCGTTTATAAACATGTATTCCCAGCTTAGAGTGCGTTTATACTTTACGAAAGCTTTCTGAGCGTACAGTAGCGTTTTCTGCGACTGGCCCTTTTCCTAGTCGCTGAAAATGCTGCCGTACGCTGCCATACATTGCCGTGCGCGCATAACGCTGAAGCGCAGAGTATGAACGTACACTTGGACGGTGCAGTCCTGGCCTCCAGAGGAGACGATTAGATCGGAGTAATAGGATATGGATAATCTCTTCTACCGAAAACCGTTGAAAGACACAACAATACTAATATTAATGAGGCACTTCAAGATATTGTGGTGTAACTATAATGTATGCCCAAAAGTTTGAGTGTTAGAGATTGACCCTTTTTTCGAGCTTTGGCACACGTTTGTAGTGTAAGCCAACATGTCGAGATCAGGGCACTCCACCGTTTGTGATGATCATAACGGGGGGTCGCTGACTGCGAGTTAGGAGGTCCTTATTTGGTCGTTGTTGGGAGAGAGACTGTCAAAGATGTATACAACTACTATTTCCGATAGTTGAAATGATAGTTAAATTCTGACGACCTCCTCCCCCCCCCCCCTTCCTACCAGGTTTTCAGCCAGCGAAAAATTCTCGGCTGAAAAATTGGTAGGAAGTTGGGGGAATCTAGGGAAGTGGTAGGTAAGAGGCGGGGGTTCGTATATGAGGATGGAATTAGGGGGTCCGTCATTTTTTCAGGAAATGATCACAACACAGTGGCGTGCCCTGGTCGATATACATCAAGGAAGAAGCCAGAGAACACTCAAGTTATGCCGCTTTTATCTTATTTTTCAGATATGTCTAATAATCTTCATTTCACTATATCTGTTATCCTATTGGATCATTTCATTGTTCAAATCGAAATCTGACAACGACTCATTATATGCCGGTGATGAAGACTACTTTGTATATAGAATTAGGTGAGTTCTGCGGTCATTTTAATTATGTTTAAAGTTGTTTTCATTCCTTTTCTTTTTTTCCGAAGTAATGCGGTTTCAGTGTATGGATGTGTTCTGCCTCATTAGCAGTGTCAATCGGGTCTATAGCACTGTTACCATTTTCAGTTGTTAGCGCAGAATTGCTTCAACGATATCCGGACAACTACTACTTGCAGGTTAGTAGTTTATCAGTATAGAGGATGCACAGTCGTTATCACGGAAGTCGGTCGGGGCCTGACAGTGGAGCGTGGGTTTAGGCACGGCGCCAGCCCCTTTTCCACCAATCATTGAATGGCGGAAGCCCCAAAGTCGATGGAAATAGACTGGCGCCGAGCCAAAACTTATGCCCTGCTCACATACCCCGACTGACTTCAACAGGTAACAACTGTAAGTTTGTTTCATAAGATTCAGCGGCTGAGTGGGCGATCCCTAAAATATTGGGGGCCAGTAGACCCGCAGCGAAATTGACATTGCAAGTGGCGTAACGAGCGCAGCATTCGCGCCAGGGGCGATAATGGGTTGGGGCTAGGAGGGGCATTTCATGAGCTTACAAGAGTTAACAGGTTTTACCAGAGTGAGACTTGTAAATCGAAATTAGTGAAGCAACGAAATTGCAGAATGCCACCCCACGCCAGCGCCATGCTTCCTACCTGTTCAAATCTTCCTTTAAAATCTCAAAAGCCCCGCGTCTTATCTTCATTTTTACTTTCAGTGGATGTCGTGGTCGTTAATAAATAGCTTATGGAACTACGTGTTTGCACTTTCGAATCTCAGTCTCTTCGTATTATTACCATTTAGTTATTTCTTCATTGAATCGCAGGGTTTCAGTAAGAACAATAATGTGAGTGATGATTTCTGCATTTTCTTTCATTCTTTTTATCATGTATTAGCATTCCTCCAATTATGGTAGTTTTAGGGTATCATGCAACGAGTTTACGAGACGCTTGCAGTATGTGCTTTACTCATTGTTGTTATTTTATGTCTGGGAGATGTTGTGTTGACGTTGTTATCGTCATCGGTGAGTGCTTATCAGCATTTCCTTTTCAATAGCCCCTTCTAACCGTTTGTTTTGGTCAGCAAGTGGTTTTATTTGGTAATGACTGAGCATTATTTCGAGTCAGGGACGCTGAGGGTCCCCAGCGAGGGGTAGGGTCGTGTTTGTCCTTGAGGAAATGTTTCCATTTGTTGACTTTTTTCGTTGTTTCATTGTTTCAAGTGCGTTGCATACCGCCTCCCCCAGACGGTGATATGGGGGGGGGGGGAGGAATTTTCGCTAAAATGCTTCCCGAGGGCATTTGACGTACTTCAAATGGAAGTGCTTTCGAAAAGCACTGATCCGATCAAGTTGAGTGGCGCTTTTCCGCTAAGTCGGGGCGAAGCCTGTGTCGAAATTCTTACCTTGGAATTGGGGAATGAGGGTGAGGAGGGGGCTCTGCACGACTAGGCTAAAAGGCGAAGACCCCTTCTATACAAGTTGAGGAGATTCTGGCCGCCGAATAGTGCTACTCTTGCCACTAGAAAATGCTTGTCTGCGCCCTCTCACCGAGACAGTGCTCAGGATTCGATTCAGGCTAGTGGTGCCTTCTTCGAGGTGCTTTCATGTGTAGAATCTGAAAGTACCTTGAAGGAGGCCTCATAGGCTTCAATCAAACTAACTGAAAACCATCACGGTGAGAGGGCGCTGGTGAGCAGCGTGTATGTTGTGGTAGTACGGCGTATTGAATGGGCGGAGGACAGCAGAATGATCAACCGATACCGAGCTTCCAGCTTCCTTACCATGCAGTCTCAACCAGCAAGCGTGGTAGATTCTGCGATTGTGGACTTGCCCACTTTGCACAAGGAAGGAATTAACTTTTCAAATGATTGTGCAGTGTGTCTTTGAGTACGAAGTACTAGTGCTAGTAGTAGCTGTATTTTGTAAAAATTAGCCTGTGGCCCATTGCAGGTTTCCCTCATCAGTATAACTTCTGTAAATCTGCCACTCATCTACTCTTTTGTATCGTTTGCCGGTGTTATGTTATTGCTTTTGTCGACTCCGATTGGATTTGCAAAAATGTTCAGTATCGTTGGTGAAATGACAATGGTGGGTATTCAAATAGTTTTGAAGGCCTCACTGTATTGTTGCCGCTTGGGAACAGGGGGATTCAATGGAGGTATTCAACGAATTGGATACCCCCAAAAAAACAATTTGTTTTTTCACTGTGATGCTGAGTGATTGTTTTCGTAGAACTCGATATCGATCCCCGATCAGGACGACATTGTAGTGGATCGCCTAGAGAAGTACTGTGAAGCCAGGAAGATGAATAAATATGGGACGAATAACAATATTCACAAGGGCAGCTTTGGTGAGTATTAGCCCTGCACTTAATTAACTAGCCTTTTCCTTGCTTTTCCACTTATTTTTCCTCCATTTTATGTTTTGTAAGCAGTAAAACTTCACTAATAACTTAGCAGGAGCTTTTGAAGGGCCCCTGTGCAAAATAAGGTCACCGTAGGGGAGATGAGCACTTGCTCAAGCCTATTGTGGAGGTAGCTCTGTTGTTTGAAGCTATTTCGAGAAGGGCAGTCGTGCTTGAATGTCGCTTACTCGCCCGGTTTCACTCAATGTCTTTCAAACCCTCCATCCTAAAGGCACATGCCTTGAAGGTCCACCCCCCCCTAAGGTGGACATTAGTAAGCCTTCTTGAAAAACAGTTGAGCTTCGTTTTCGCTCTTTTGGTTTTTTTCATTCCCCGCCCTCTTCTTTTGTTGGTGTTTTTTTTCATTCCCCCTTCTTTTGCATGATTTCTGGAACGGAATAATATGAATATGTAAGCATGTCATGCCCGTAACGACGCGTTCATGGACGCGTTCATGCTTCGCGATTGCGAGCGTCTACGGTTTTCGAGAATGCGCTGGTAGACGGAGTGATTCGATTTCCGTCGAATTCATTGTCGGGCGGTATCCGTAGGCGCTCCTTGCTGCT